GTAAAAATCTGTTCATATTAATTCCCTAATAAGCATAATAATTCATAATTTTTTGGTTCTAATCACATTTCAATTAAACTTGGAGACATAGATTTTCTGTTACATTGCGCAGACCTCATTAGTTTTACACTCAAATCTGGTCATATTAATTTTCTGATTTGCATAATTACTTTTCAGCTAAGTAATTTCGAATTATATTTAATGTGTCTCCAATACTCTCAGCACATGGGAGTTCTTTCTAAGCTTTCTTTGATTTTTGCTTAGTCTCTGATGGGAATTTCACATTGAATCAGTTACTGTTCGGCATAATGTCATTTATCACATCAGCAGTAGTCTATCATACCTGGTTGTTAAGTGACAGAGGTTACTTTATGGTGTGTGCAACACAATCTGTCAATGTGTGACCTACTGTCTGTCAGTATGATATATATACTGGACAAGTACCCTGTAATCTGTACTGTGGAGTAGTTAGCATAGTTACATTGTGTGGCTCTGTCATTATCAATAATCTATGCGGTCAGAGTCGTTTCAACTTGTGACCTTATGTATTTGTTCATCTGAGTACTTGTACAGTACCATAAACTATACTGTACTAGATGTAGTGAATTACTGAAATTGTGACCTGCATGTCAGCATCTTTGTTACAATAGCTCTAATAGTGCGTAAAGTTGTCATGTTTTTTTTTGTTTTTACTGTAAAAGTATGATAAGCAGGATTAATCCAGTGTCACTTTAACCAAAAGTTTTTTTGTTTTTGAAAATTGTGTTGTGTTTTAAAAACCACACTAGAAAATCACCCATCCCCCAGTTTGGCTAAATTCCGTTAATTTTCATCATCAGTTTTTAGTCCCCGTTTGGATGAAGTCCGAAAACAAAAAATATTAATCTGAATTCTGTCCGTCCGTGCGTCTGTCCGGAGCCATTTCTCGGACACCCTCTAACTGATCAAACTTGGCGTACAGACAATGTATGATGACCTACATTTGCCCCACAATTTTTGTTATGATTGGATTAAATATGGCAAATTTGCTAAATTCTGATATTCAAACTTGTCCGGAACTGTTTCTCGGAGCTGAACAGGGTGATTTCAATCAAACTTTGTATGGTGATGATGCATATTGGGTTATAGGTGCATGTCACTTTTTCCGAGATTCAGTACAAGTTAGCCGACTGGCGGCCATCTTGTTTTTTTGCATTTTCATGCTGATTCCTTCATAAGATTATAGCCTGATTTAGTTCAAAGTTTGTACATAGGTACTATACTTCAAGATAACACAACAACATGTTTTGTTTTGAGATTTGATCAAATTTGTTGAAATGGCGGCCATTTTGTTTAATATCTTAAAATCACTTTCTGTAACGTGTCCGACACTGTTTCTCAGAATAGGGTGATTTCAATCAAACTTTGTATGCTGATCATGTATATTGGGTTACACATGCACATCATATTTTTTTCAAACCTTGGAGAAATAGGCTGACTGGCGGCCATTCTGTTTTTTTCCTTTATTGTGCCGATTCCTCTAAAAGATATGACCTGATTTACTTGAAAGTGTGTACAATAGGTACTATACTTCAAGATAACACAACACCATGTTTTGTTTCGAGATTTGATCAAATTTGTCGAAATGGTGGCCATTTTGTCAAAAACTGTCTGGAACTGTTTCTTGGAGCTGAACAGGGTGGCGATATGACCTGATTCAGTTGAAAGGTAAACAGGGCATTTTCAATCAAACTTTGTATGATGACCTTACATATTAGGTTATGGTGCAAGCCATATTCTTTTGGAGATACTTGAACAACAATACTCCATTGGCTGCGTTTTTCTTTCATGCTTCTTCCTCTGTAAGATATAGTCCAATACAGTTCTAAGTTTCTACGTAGGTACTATACTAACAGTAACACAATCTATAATCTGTGTTAGTGTTAAAAAAACATTCATCTTTCATTTCTACTTGTCACTGAACATTTACATCGACTACCAATACTTAACAGGGACTATGCATCTGTTGTGAGAATGTCTTCAGTTGAAGCTATATGCTCATGACCTCTGTTTTATCCTTGAAATGATGATTATTAAAATAACTTGTGTGAAAACATTGATTGTTCAATTCCCTATTGAAAATAAAAAACGAAAAAAGAAAGTCTTAATATTAACTTAAACATGTTTAATATGAGAAATGTGACTCAGAATAGAACAAATTATTGTTGTCATCATGACAGTGTACCAACCCCCAACCCCCCTACCCTAAACTACCAGGATGTGTGACCTTTGGGGGTATGAATAAAAGCTAACCAATCTATTGATTTGTTTACAGCCATGTTAAATGATGACTACCCGTTGACAGCATGTCTTAATAACATGCAGAAAGATATGAGATTAGTTTTATCAATGGGAGATGAATATTCACAACAATTACCTGTTGCAGCGGCCGTAAATGAAGTAAGTATGACAATGTTTTCCATCATTCTCCATACCATGACCCTGGCCATTCAAGCTTGTCCCCTCATATTACCTGTATGTACCCGGTCAATGACATGTGCCGGTGTACAGTTAAAGGTCAGGGATGGTAACCTTCTTGTTTGTAGTGAAAATATTCATGATTTGAAATTTTTTTTATATAATTTTTGGTTTTCAAGATATTCATTGAGTGGCCATTATAGCTGACTGGCGGCCATTTTAAATGCACAAATGTACCCAATTCAAGCATTTTTAACATCACAGAACCAGATTTTACGTCTGCTTGGACAGATTCCATTCTTATTTTGTACATGCATGGAAAATCCTTTCCTAAATTTGGAGCCATGCATATATTTGTCTCAGCTTGTCCTGATGTAACATTGATTTGACTCAATATCTTTTATTTCATGAAAATATTTTCCAACATTTACTAGTGAGAATCTTATAAAATTATAGAATTTATATATTTATTATTGAGATTTTCTAACACTGATTCTGTTGAATGATTTTAATATTCTTAGATGTACAAAAAAGCCAAATCTCTGGGTCACGGAGATGAAGACATGTCTGCAATCTACAAAGCATATTCTCAGTGAGAAACAGTCAGAGCTCTATCTAGAACTGTCTGAAAAAAAACTGCCTTAAAACTCTCTGCCATGGGAAGTTGCTGCTGATTGGTTGAAATGCATCATGTGACTTACCGGTATGCATGTTTGCTGTATTTGCTCAGATGTAGAAATCAATCAAGTGAATGTTAATACTGCTCAGTGCAGAGATTGGTTTGTTGGAAACTTTTTTCCTATGGAGATATTTATGTATACATATAATTGTTTAGTCGTACAGGAATTTATTTAGACTTAGAACTAAAGAGGGAAGAATGAAATGTAGTTTGATGTAAATGGACAGTGATTAATGAACTCATGGGTCGTTCTATCAATGGCTTATGCTTGTGTTGCCTTTACCTTTTTTGAACACACTCATTTTCTCTCTCAACATTTTAGTGCTACATTTTACACATTTTTATATTCTTTTCCATCATTTTTTGGGGTAATTTTGGACCAAATAGACATAGTTTACCATTGGCTGCTGGTCTTGATTTAAAATATCAGTTTATTTTGTGAAAGGTGACACAAGTTGGCTCTGGTGTTCAAAAGGGTTAATAGGTCACTTTCATGTCACCCATCCTGGTACTGTCATTAGTATGAAAATCAAAAATGGATTTTTTTTAGTGATATTTCAGTAACGTTTCTTTTTAGCTACTTGAGTAAAATGTTTTCTGTTCGGAACAAAAAGACACATTAAAATTACCCAAGTGTTTATGTTGGCATGCCAACAAAAGTACCAGGATGTGTGATCTTTAGGGGTCCATAAGCAGCCTATTACAGTGTTTCAGCTTAAGCTAATGTCAGATATAGTTTCTGATGATGATAAGAGACTTACATTAATTTGCCAGCTACTGTGATACTGTATAATCTGTCTTTCTAAAAATTTCACAGGATAGTTGACAGGAAACTTTACTTTGACCCTGCAGTTTCAGTGTTTACCTCCATTCATCCCCTCTGCCTAGGTTACATAGTGTATATATGCCCTCCATATTCCGGGTACCATCCCCTCTATAGACAGAATCTCAGGCAGTTTTTAAAATTCACACAAGTACTGCTTCCTCTTTGTTCAAAGTAATTTTTTTTCTCTTCATTGAATATAAATGGTAAAAGTCGACCATTTTTAATGAGCAGCATATGTAATAATTTTATGTATGGGAGATAATATATTGCGTTTTTCTTGGTTACGTCAATAACTGTGATTTGCTCGTAACCATCAGGGTATTTTCTTGTACATTGTTTAAATGTATAATATTAAGTGGAAAGAAACTACAGGTATTTCATTTGTAAAACCTTGATTGATTTCATTCTCACACGATAACCTCAGTACAACCAATCTGCTCAATTTACCTTAAGTGCTTATGTAGTAATCTCCAACTGCTACATCTGGCAAAATACATCTCACTGTATCACCTCTCTGAAATTACTCGGCTCTCCTTGTGTGTGGAAAGTACCAATGTATGTACAATAGTACCTAGAAACTGTTTGCCAAAACTGAGTCATTCCATTGTCATGTTTACTGTATCATATCTTAATGTTTTATATTTAGGTAGATTAATAATGTAGGAGTTGTATTTTATATTACTTTTTATTTTAAAGCAGTTTTTTGAATGTATTTACTGGCACTGTAATGTGTGTTTCTTGGGTTTATGCTAATCATGGAGGTAGAATTTCAGTTTCTGTCAAGGATAATGAAGAATGGGGTGTGTGTACAGTTGCATCTCACATGGTTTTTCTGGTTTTCATATGTATCTTTCTCACCCTCATGTAGACATACTTCTGTTCAGAGTCTGTTGTTTATAGTCAAATAACTAAATCATCCATTGGCTGCTATTAATAACCAAACAACATAAGCATCTATTGGCTGTTATTAATAGGCAAACAACAGAAGCATCCATTGGCTGCTATTTATAGCCAAACAACAGAAGCATCCATTGGCTGCTATGAATAGCCAAACAATTGAGGCATCCATTATCTTCTATTTATAGTCAAACAACAGAAGCATCCATTGGCTGCTATTAATAACCGAACAACAGAAGCATCTATTGGTTACTATTTTTAGCCAAACAACAGAAGCATCTATTGGTTGCTATTTATAACCAAAACAACAGAAGCATCTATTGGTTGCTATTTATAACCAAAACAACAGAAGCATCTATTGGTTACTATTTTTAGCCAAACAACAGAAGCATCTATTGGTTGCTATTTATAACCAAACCAACAGAAGCATCTATTGGCTGTTCTATTTTCAAAGCTATCCATGTTGGGATTGTGTCACATTTGCATCAAAATTGATACATTTCAAAATGATTTATTGCTAATATGCTTAATCATTAGAAGCAGCAAGTGTATTTTGTGAACAACGAATATCTTTGTTCGTATGCTGTTCAATGTTATTTTTGGCGTAATTATAAGTTATATTGATACCAACTTCATTAACAGTTCAGCAGTTGAATTAAGACTGAACCCCCAACTCCTAAATGTTTTGAGTTCATATTTAGGTCTTCTGTGTAAACTTTTCATTGGCTCTTCACAGATAATTGTGATTTCTAAAATATAAACAAATTGTGTTGGTTGAAGCATGGATGTACTAAGAAGTACTTAGTACATCCATGGTTGAAGTAACATTAATCTCTGAGGTATTTTTTTTTAAATAGTATAACAATACATTGTTTTATATCTGTGACACCATAAAATACAGCCATATGTCTCTAAACTTGTATGGACTTGTCAGATGAAGATATGTGCTACATAGTATCGGTGGTTGTCAGTAAAGATACTTGTATTCAGTTTGCGTGTTATTTTCGATGGGCTAAGCATGATGTTAATTGGTGTAAAATTTCACAATTTTCAAAAATAAAAAAAAATTACATTACTGTATTTGGTCTATTAGAAGCATTTATATGAATTCTATGAGTTACATATACTGTGAAATACTTTATTTTAGCAAGAATTAATTTTCGCTGAAAAGGTTGTGTGTTTTGTATAGAATTTATGGAACTGATTTTTGATGAGTTGAATGTGAAATATAAAAAAAAAAATATTTGCTGGATTTTATTTTCACTGAATCATCTCTTCAGCGAAAATAAATTCCAAGCAGAAATAAAGTATTTCACAGTATAGTCTAAATAAACAAGTCTTAATTTAATGAGCCCTGTATACATAAAATTGTGGGTTGATGTTAAAGATGTGCTTCCAATAGACTATATACAAAATATGTGGATTGTATTATTTAATTACTGTGGAATTTACTCAGTACGCCCTGTCATATGTGCTGTTCCACTTCAAAAGTATTGATCATGTTTTGAACATTTTTCACCTATTTACATGCCATGTGTATGTTTATCATTATATATATTGAGAGTAGACTGCAAAGCCACACACGATTTGGTCTGAGGTGCTGTAGTAATTATCTGATGATACTATTTTGAGAAATGACTTGGGCATTATTTTTCTTCTTAGTTTCTCAAAACTTAATTTCACTCCATAACATGTATTGTCAACAAAGTAAACTGGGTACATAGATTACGGACAAGCCTAGAGTCAGTGCACTTTCAAAAATCCTCTGGACCTCTGCAGTAAATCATTGACGACAATCACTGGTTAGTTTGACCATACATTTAAAAAAGTAAGCATTAATCATGTGGAATAGAGCAGGTGAAATTTTCCACATTCTGTATTTCAACTGGGCAGTGTGTCTTTGCCTGGTTTGTATTGGACTTGCCCATAGTACATGGTGTTTCAATACATTTGCTTGACTGCAAAATGAATCGGCCATCCAACCATTCTATATATTTCTTGTAGAGGTCATGCAGGACAAGTTTTTCCAGGTTAGTTATACATGTAGACTACCGCCAAGTCTGCTACCTTTTAAATTTGTATTTCCTGTCAATCAGATAAAACCTTGTGTAACCCAAGTCAATAATTGGGGTTCCTACCCCCCCCCCCCTACTGTTTGACTACTGATGTTCCCCCTTCCCCGCACAGATTATAGTCCATATATTTGTGTGATATGCATACCCATTTGTAATAATTCTGTAGTGTTGTATTAAATATGTCATGTACATTGCATTTAGCATATTTTATTTTGTTATATTATAAATAGTTTTAAATGTTGATTTATAAAAGTCATGATTAGAATACTCTTTTTTTTCTTTTTTTTTTGAAGTTGGTGAAAGTCATTTATTGTTTAAATTCAGTATGTACTGTACTTCCCTCTAGAAGACTCCTTTCATCCTTTCCAATTCGGGTAGTGTTGTTCATTGCTGCTAATTCCAATTTATGAAATATTGCGTTGACACTTTAGAGATGGGGATGAAAGATGTAGATGCAAGTTAAACAGAATATTGTTTAATCAGTTTGTTGTGTTCTTGGTCAATTACCTTGCTTAAAAAGTTGCATACAATGCTCCGTCATGAAGGAATTCTACATTCACAGAAGCCGTCTGGTTGATGCAGTCGTGTCTAAGACGTGATTGATGACAGGAAAACGAAACTGTGTGCTTGTGTATAATATTGTGTCTTGTCTTTATAATACCTTGGCAACAAATTGGTTAAAAATTATCAGGAAATTGGGTACAGCCACATGACGTGGCAGCAATTCAAGATGAAATGACATGACATAATGATGTACTTCCTTAGTGCATCATAGTCATAGCAATTCTCTTCCACCAATCACCATCAGTTGTCCAAATCATCATTTATAAATATGTCTCCCACTATACGAATCCAGTTAGTTATTACATTAAAACATTTACCATAATATTGGATAAATTATTCGTCCACCAATCACCATCAGTTGAAATATTGTCCAAATCATCATCATTTATAGATATGTCTCATACTATATGAATCCAGTTAGTTATTACACTAAAACATTTACCATAATATTAAATTATTCGTCCACCAATCACCATCAGTTGAAATATTGTCCAAATCATCATCATTTATAGATATGTCTCATACTATATGAATCCAGTTAGTTATTACACTAAAACATTTACCATAATATTAGATAAATTATTCGTCCACAAATCACCATCAGTTGAAATATTGTCCAAATCATCATCATTTATAGATATGTCTCATACTATATGAATCCAGTTAGTTATTACACTAAAACATTTACCATAATATTGGATAAATTATTCGTCCACTAATCACCATCAGTTGAAATATTGTCCAAATCATCATCATTTATAAATATGTCTCATACTATATGAATCCAGTTAGTTATTACACTAAAACAATTACCATAATATTGGATAAATTATTCGTCCACCAATCTTCAGTTGAAATATTGTCCAAATCATCATTTATAAATATGTCTCACACTATATGAATCCAGTTAGTTATTACACTAAAACAATTACCATAATATTGGATAAATTATTCGTCCACCAATCTTCAGTTGAAATATTGTCCAAATCATCATTTATAAATATGTCTCACACTATATGAATCCAGTTAGTTATTACACTAAAACATTTACCGTAATATTGGATAAATTATTCTTCCACCAATCACGATCAGTTGAAATATTGTCCAAATCATCATTTATAAATGTGGATCATACTATACGAATCCAGTTAGTTATTACACTAAAACAATTACCATAATATTGGATAAATTATTCTTCCACCAATCACCATCAGTTGAAATATTGTCCAAATCATCATCATTTATAAATATGTCTCACACTGTACGAATCCAGTTAGTTATTACACTAAAACATTTACCGTAATATTAGATAAATTATTCTTCCACCAATCACCATCAGTTGAAATATTGTCCAAATCACCATCATTTATAAATATGTCTCACACTACGAATCCAGTTATACTAAAACAATTACCATAATATTGGATAAATTATTCTTCCACCAATCGCCATCAGTTGAAATATTGTCCAAATTACCATCATTTATAAATATGTCTCACACTACGAATCCAGTTAGTTATTATACTAAAACAATTACCATAATATTGGATAAATTATTCTTCCACCAATCACCATCAGTTGAAATATTGTCCAAATTACCATCATTTATAAATATGTCTCACACTACGAATCCAGTTAGTTATTATACTAAAACAATTACAATAATATTGGATAAATTATTCTTCCACTAATCACGATCAGTTGAAATATTGTCCAAATCATCATCATTTATAGATATGTCTCATACTATATGAATCCAGTTAGTTATTACACTAAAACATTTACCATATTATTGGATAAGTTATTCGTCCGCTAATCACCATCAGTTGAAATATTGTCCAAATCATCATCATTTATAGATATGTCTCATACTATACGAATCCAGTTAGTTATTACACTAAAACATTTACCATAATATTGGATAAATTATTCTTCCACTAATCACGATCAGTTGAAATATTGTCCAAATCATCATTTATAAATATGTCTCATACTATATGAATCCAGTTAGTTGTTACACTAAAACATTTACCATAATATTGGATAAATTATTCTTCCACCAATCTTCAGTTGAAATATTGTCCAAATCATCATCATTTATAAATATGTCTCACACTATGCGAATCCAGTTAGTTATTACACTAAAATGTTTACCATACTATCCCTCCGGAAAAGGCTTATCGCACCATTGGACAAATTCAACAATCAATATATATGTTGCAGTACTTGTTTTCCTGCTTGAATGCCGGTTTGCACTGTGCTTGGATACATAACCTAGGGGAACAAACGCATAATTAGATATTCATATTATTCGTGTTCAGGCTACACCAAGCATCTTGAATATTGACGGTGAATGTTCCGGCGAAGCACTCCGGTAGAGGGGGGAATGTCCGTGCAGGCGTGTGGGCTAAAATTTAAAAGTTCACACACGGGAGGAATCTGTGCATGCTAAAGAATGCCCAAACTTGTAAAGAATATATAAACTCGAGTCCCTAACTATGGTATACATGTTAGTTC